TTTGCATTGACAAACAAGAGGGTGCTGGGGAGTGGGTGGGAAGATCACAAAGAGGTGAGTGGGGTGGGGCTGCGGTGGGACCCGATTGGAGATGGGGAGCTGCCCCTCCTAGGAAGCCGGAGCTGGGGGGAGTGGGAGAGCAAGAGAGCAAAGCTGGGGAGATGCAGGAGGGGATTTGGACTGTCAAGATTGCTGCTGGTAGGATTGAAAGTTGACCTGCGACTGTGGCTTGCTCCTGGCAGGACTAGGAGAGTGGCTGGGAAGTTCAGCGGGCCTTGCTTGAGGCTACGGGGGTGGCTGGCTGGGACGGGACCCTGCTTACCCCTCTCCCTGCCCGTAGCCGACATGTTCAACCAGCAGCAGCAGCTCCAGCAGCTCCAGCAGCAGCAGCAGCAGTTGCTTCAGCTCCAGCAACTTCTCCAGCAGTCCCCACCTCAGGCCTCCATGCCTATGCCCATGGCCCTCAGCAGGTGAGCCCCCCACCGGGGTGGTGGATGGCCCCAGCCCTGCCGCTGGGACACATGCCTTAGAAACCCTCCTGTGAGGTCCTCTCTCCCAGGGGCCTCCTTGCTTGAAGCTTGGGGTAGGGGATGTGGAAATCATCAACTCCTCCCCCCAGGGGTCAGGGAAGAGGGAGAGTCTCCCCCCCCAACAACCCTCTGTTACCCTTACCCAATAGGCTCCCCACGCAGCAGGCACCACAACAGCTTCTGAATCTCCAGAGCACCAACTCGGCCTCCCTCCTCAGCAGCCCTGTGCTACAGAGAGCTTTGCTTTTACAGCAATTGCAAGGTACAGCCCCAGGCCCCTTCTCCCCAACACTAACTCTGATCAGATTCACTTAGCACCCTACTTGACCCATCAGGACCCTGAGGCTCCAGAAGTAGAAGTGTAAGGTTTTCTGCTGAATGCAGGCAGGTCTGCTTGAGCACAGAGCAGTGCCCTGGGCCCTGGGGCGGGAGCTGTGAGCGGTCCTGTTCAAGACTCCCACATTCAGGTTTGACGAGCTAATGGATGGAAAGGGGTCTTTTGACCACCCTCCTCCACACCCCAAGGAGCCCTAGAGGTACAGGGGCTAAGCAGTTGGCTGGTAATCAGAAGGTCAGTGGTTCAAACCCACTGACCCCTCTGAAGATCCATTCCTAAAGATTTTTAAAACATCAAACCCGTTGACACCCCCTATTGAAAAGCAAACAAACAGAAACAAGACAGAACAAAAGAGTCACTGTCATCAAGTCCCAGCTAACCAATAGCAACTCTGTAGGGCTGAGGAGAACTGTCGCTGTGGGTTTATGAGGTGCTAGACCTGTGCTGGAACAGAAAACCTCATCTTTCTCTTACAGAGTGGCTGGTGGGTTCAAACTGGTGACCTCCCAGTTAGCAGTCCAGTGTGTACCTACCCTACCAAGGCTCTGCCCCAAGGTTTCCAAGGGTGGCGGTTTTTACCGAAGCCGAGTACAGTCGTTGGTTTTGAACCAGCCATCTTTCAGTTTGCAGTTGAGCGCTGTGCCACAGGGCCCCATCTGCAAAGAGGATCACTTAGGAACTCCTATGGGGCATTTCTGTGCTGTCATGTAGGCTTGCTATGAGTTAGAATCAATGTCAAGCGCACACTCACTGTCATGGAGTCAATTCCGACTCAGAATGACCCTAGAGGTCAGAGTAGAACTGGAGGTCAGAGTAGAACTGCCTCTATGGGTTTCTCGAGACCGTAACATTCTGGGAGTAGAAAGCCTCATCTTTCTCCCTTGGAGTGGCTGATGGTTTCGAACCGCTGACTTTACGGTGAGCAGCCCAACGCATAATCCACCACGCTACGAGGGCTGCTCTAGAATCAACAGGATGACACAGAACACTACCACTGCCATCTCCCATCTGACAGATGAGGAGGTTGAGACCCAGAGAAGGGAAGTCATCCTCCCTGGGTCACACAGCACCCACAGAGGGTGAGCTAGACCAGGCCCTGAGCTTTCTGGTTTCTTAGGGGCTGAGTGTAGTCAATGTGTATCCTTGCCTCGGTTTCCCCGTGTGGAGAGTACCTTCTCAGCTTCTCCTCCCTTGATGCTAGTCCACATTCCTTAGCCCTTGCAGGGGTGGTCTAGGGTCCCAGTGACCTGAAGCCAGCGCATCTTCAGACTCCATTGTGAAGAGTCGTGGTAGCATCTTCAGACTCCATTGTGAAGAGTCGTGGTAGCAGTGGCTAGCCACTGTGTTGAAGGCCTTTCCAAGTTCAACTCTTTGACGCTGCTGACAGCCCAGTGGGTAGATACAGACACTGAAGCACACAGAGTCACCAGCCCAAGACGACACCATGAGTAGGTCTTGGATGGAAAGAGTAGTTCCCGGCTTACCGCAGAGTTGTGTCCTCAGCCAACAGATCACCCTCCCTCCTCAGAAGATGATGTAGGCTTCTTCGCCTGCCAGGGCCGTGCAGGTGTGGATGGCCCTGGGAGCTGACTTGTGAAAGGTGGATGGACAGAGGGAAAAGCCCACACAGTCTTTCCCCGTCTTCTTCAAAGTAGAATGAAAAGACATCAATGAAGCTTCAGGGAAACCCCCTAAACCATCTACAGACCCTGCCGGCCAAGGCTCTGGTATAGGCGGGACTTCAGATGTTGGTGGAAAAGCAACATTCAAAAGAACAGAATTTTCCCACAAACATTTGGAGGCCTCCTCCCTGATCTTGCCGTTTCCCCCACAAGCTTGGAAGCTTATACACGATTGTGGTTCCATCCTAAGGAGAAGGCGGTATTTTATTTCTTTTCCCCTGAAGATAGTGGTATGATCATTTAAAGGTGCGATTACAGACTTTGTAAAGATCGTTTGTAATAGCTGTGAAACATTCTATTGTGAGGGTGTATACGCATTCCCTTTCTTAACCTAAACCTTCCCCACTTATTGGACAATCGAGCTGTGGGGTTTTTCCCCCGTGGGGAATGGGGTAGGAGTAGGGGGCTGAGGATATTTTAATAACACTAAGATGAATGATCTTATTTAATGTTTGAGACTACTTTCTTAGAATGGATTCCCCAATGTATAATATTCGGTAGCGATGGCTGTTTTATGGCTCTTGGTAAGTATTGCCAAATTGCTTTCCCAAGGACTGGACCAGTTTGCAATGCCACCAGCCACGTATGACAGTGCCAGCCTCACCATGCCCACGGCAACACTGGGTACTATATGTTTTTATTCATATCTATCTGTGTATATAACATATTTATTTGGTTGGCATGAGAAGCTCTATCGTCAGTGTTTTAATTTACATTCCTTCAGATGCTAGTGTGTTGAACATTTTTATAATCATCCGCTAACCATTTGACCTTTGTGTCTTGTCCATGTCCTTTGTCCAGCTCTCTGTGGGGTCCTGTCTTTTGTCGTCATGGTGTTAGAAGCTTGCGCTCTCTGTTTACAGGCGTCGCTGCCTTCATTTAAGTTGATGTTCATTGGGACTTAGTGTGTACCAGGCACGTTTGTACATTTTATTGACTCCTCTGAAAATATCCAGAGGCAAGCTCTGTGATCATGCCGTTTGGAGACGAGGGACCATTTGCAGGAGGTCACTTCTCAGCACTGTGGGACACTTGGGTGCCCGGGGGCAAGGGTTGCAACTATATTTCATGAGCTGAGTTGACGGAGAGCCTGCTCTGGAATTGTTCCGAGTGTGGTGGGGCGGTAAGCAGCGGGAGGCAGACAAGGAGATGGATGTAGCCTGTGGGGGTGTACAAGGGGGCTGGGAGCACCTAGGAGAGTCTGGAGAAGCCTCTGGGAAGGGAAACAGCCTAAGGAAGGGGTGAGAGACGACTAGGAGTTAGTGGGGGTGGAACAGCCTGGGCAGAGGGGATGACATAGGCAGAGGCCCAGAGGAAGACACCAGGCATGTTTGAGATTCATGGGGGCCTCTGACTGGGGTAAAGTGGGGCTATGTGTGGGCAGCCTGATAAACGGGGGTTGGGGTCGGGGACTGCTCCAGACCGCCACCGTGAGGACGGGACCTCATTCCTGAGCATGTGGGACCTCTGAGAGGGGCTAGGTAAGGGATGAAGTGCTTGTGGAATAGGGTTGGGGGCTAGAGAGGGAAGCCAGACTAGGGAGAGAGGGTGCAGGAGGGAGGGGTGATGGGATTGGGTGATATCTTGGGTGGGGGAGGGGGAAAGAGGGCCAGGGGACCCTGAGTCTTGGCTGTGTCCAGCAGGTGAGCGGCAGCACCTCTCACAGACCCCGGCTTGCTGCTGCTCTGTTTGTGCCTCTGCTTTCGTGTCGTGTCGGTAAAGTAGCGATAATAGTGCTGACGTGGAGGAAGCACCAGGCCTGGCGCGTGGTAGACCGTGGGTGAAGGGAGTTGGAGAGTGGGGGGGCCGCCCTCTGCCAGTGTTCCTTCCAGGCCTTGCAGTGGGTCTTTCGCACACCCCCAGGATTGCTGGGGGTACTGCAGCTGCTGCCCACGGAGGCATTTGGAGGGGACAGGGGCAGTTTCTCCCCCCCGCCCCGCAGCCCTCAGGCCTCCACTACAGCCCAAGTGGGACTGACCCTTGGGCTGTCATCTCTTCCCTCTGGCTCCTTGAGTGAAGAGTGGGCCCCCTTCCAAGTTGTCTGTTACAGTCCCATGATGCTTTGAGGGTCCTGACCCCTTACCACCCGACCGCAATTGTAATCCCGCTTCTCCCGCTTGCCCACAGGTAACCTCCGCAGCTACAACTTGGTAACCCCAAACCTGACAGCCCCCAGCCTTACACCCCCTCAGCTGGTCCCCTCAAATCTACAGCAGTATTTTCCCCAAGCCACTCGCCAATCCCTGCTGGGCCCGCCTCCTGTTGGGGTCCCTATGAACTCTCCCCAGCTCAGCCTCTCAGGGCGAACCCCGCAGAAACAGGCCCGCACATCTTTTGTCACCCCCAGTCGCAAGGTGAGTAGAGATGGGAGGAGCAGGTGAGGATGGCGGGGTGAGGGGATACCTGGGGCTCAGCCCAGCTCCACCGGCTCTGACTCACTCAGGCCTTTTGGGCAGGTCATACCCCCTCTTGGTGTCTCAGTTTCCTCCTCTCTAAAGTAGGGGTGTGTGTGATGTGTCTAGTGTTCCCCCAAACATCCCCATGCCCCAGTGTGGTCTTGACCATGTCCAAACACTACCGGTACTCCTACCCACTTAACATTTCACTTTGAATCAGCACATCCCTAATCGAATGTATTCCCGTAGCCACATTTTTTTAAAAATAAAAAGAAACAGGTATAATGAATTTTACTAATACATTTTATTTTATTCCATACTTCAAAAGTTAACGGGAACCTTTCATGATCTTTTATTTCCACCTTTATGTACTTTTTCAAGTCACCCATTATCAAATTGATTATCATTTTAACATGTCCCCCAAACTAGTACATGTGACTCACAGTGACCCAGCAGGACCAAGTAGAACTGCCCACGTGGGCTTCTGAGACTGTAATTCTTCACAGGAGTAGAAAGCCTCATTTTTGTCCCGTGGAGTGGCTGATGGTTTCAAACTGCTAACCTCGTGGTTACCAGCCCAATCCACTCCACCACCCGGCCTCCTATTGTAACATGTAGCAAATATAAAAACGTAGTAATGAGGTCATCTTACAGCCTCCTGTTTGGTAATAAGTCTTCACAATCCGACGGGTTTTATACTTGGGACACCCAGCATTCCAGACCGGCCACATTGCACGGTGCCCAAAGCCATGCATGGCTCTAAATGAGCACACTTCCTCTCAATCCATCTGCTCTATCACTACCTGACAGGAGATCAAAGTACAAGAACTCTAAATAGTGCAGGACAATGATTCAACCCTAAAGCATGAGCCAGCTGCTGGGCCCGCAGCACCCTGGCTCATGCCAACCAGAGAGGAGCGGGTGTTTGAGGTCTAAGACACTGTAGACACCAATGCCAGCCTTTCGCTGGTGGCGGCAGAGGCCCAGGCCTCCCTAGAGGCTGTCTAGCCCTTGGGTCTCCTGGCAGGCTTCACCACGTCTCCGAAGTGGAGGTTCTGGTCTGGAGGCAGCACCCCCTTTTCTCGACTGCTCTGAGGTTGTTCAGAAAGGACCCTGGCCTCACACCTTCTGATTGGGCCTGTCACAACCTGGCCCTACAGGAATGTTTAGTGGCAACCCTCTCTGTTTCATGTATGGGAAAACTGAGGCACACAGAGCTAGGTGGGGGTTGCTAGTGTCCGGGCTTGGGGGCAGGTGAGAACTGGGCCCTCTGGCCTAGTGGGAGCCTGCAGGCAGACTGAGGAGGGGCTTCCTGGGGGAGGCGGGCACTGGCCAGAGTTGTGTTCATTTAGCAGCGCGGAGGTCACTTTGCTGGGGGCCCTGGGGGTTCGGGGATGGGGTTGATCCCTGGTTTGGCTCTCCTGGAGTCCTGGGGCTGGTGATAGGAGTGGGATCATGCTCCAGTGGATTCACCGCAGTTGTGCCCAGAGAAGCCCGAGGCACTCTGAGACCTAGACTGGGGCCAGGAGGGCTTCCTGCAAGAAGTGTCCTGGAGGATACGGGTGAAGGTCTAGGGGCAGGAAGAGGCCTGGGACTTGGGACAACCAGAGGGAAGGCCAGTGTGGACAGAGCAGAGAGGACGAGGGGGAGCAGAGAAAGATGAGGCAGGAGGG